ATCTAGTTTGCTTGGCTAACCAATACTTGTGTATCTACATGTCCTTTCATCTTATAGTTTTGATGCTCTAAATCTGCAGTCTTTAATCCGAATAACAGAAAACTATAAACGGCCACTTTATCCTTTAGGTGAAGCTACAGTGAAAATTTAAGACCAATACCTTACGTGACTACGTAGGAGTATGCACAAATTTTGGTCAGATTTGAGCGGTTATTGTTGAATAACTTTGCACATGTGGCTTATATTTAGACCAAATTTGACATCTAATTGCAGGTTGCAACGATTTATCAATGTACCAAGTTTTAAAAAAAATTCCTTAAAAGTATGTTTTTCTATCAAATAAAGTTCCGTACTTATTTCTTAATGGATTGCCTTGAAATTTGTTATGTTTAGTAAGAGTCCAGTAGAACACGTACACTGAAAATATGTGATAGTTTAGATTACCAGATAGGTCAGTACTATGAGCTTCTGATTCATCACAGGAGAGATGGACCAGTTCTATGAACTTCTGACCCATCACATGACAGATAGGCCAGTACTATGTAATTGTGATCCATCATGATAGAGAGGCCAGTACTAATTTGTTCGAGACAAATAATTTAAACAGTCAGTGTGAACATCATGTTAAAAAGAGAAATTACATTTGTGTTATTTTCACCATGTAAATATATACATTCACTTTTTAATTTAATGTATTTGAAACGTTTAATATATTTGTATTGTTAAAGGACTTAATGAGTATTATATAGTTTAATAAAGTATTTTCTTATATTGTGTTTCAAATATTTTTGATATATTTCACTTTTGCTTTGAGAACTGCTTTATTTGGTATCTTGTTCCAATTTTAAGAATTCTGATTTTTTAATGTTTTTAGTTATGATTTTAGAGTTGTAATTTGTATTGTTTTTAAAAACTTTGTTTGAAAGAATTTAATCTTTGTTTATTTCTAAAGCATCTCATTCAATTTCACCTTACTTTGTTGAAATTGAAACCTGTTTAAGTACCTTTTATCTCTCACCACAATTAATGAGCACTTTTCTTCTGTCTACATTTCATCAAAAACCTTGTCTTGTACTGCATTATTGTATTTAAAAGGTTTATTTTGTAATTTAGCATTTTGCATAATGTATTTTATGATTTTACATTAGGCTTAAAACGAGGTTTATTTTGCATTATTGCATTTTATTTTTTCTGTTAGATGATACATACTTAGACAGTGATTTATGATATAATTTGTCTTGGGTACGTGGTTCATTTAATGCTTTACTATGTTGTCTGACCAAGAGTTACAACTTTTATACGATTTTACAAGTTCACGTTGTAAATCTTAAATTGACATTACATTTAAATGCTTCTTGAGGACAAACTTAATAAAAATGACGAGGAGGTTGTGATTTCCAGCTATCACATAGCTCATTTTCATACTGCTTTGATTTCATATTTACAAGCTTTTTTAATTTTTTTAAAATTCTAATTCAGAACATAGTAAATCTGGCATAGATTATGAGCTAATTCAGCCTTACATTACTTTCTGTAGCACAGTCCAGTCATGGAATTATCTGTTGTTTCATGGGCATCTATCCTATTTTATCCTGTGTATGTTAGATTGCTTTAAGACTGGCACATGAAGCAGATACTCATAGATACATTTGATTCAATTTTCTGATTGGTCAGCTATGGAAAGAATGTGGAACGTGATAATAGTTCTAGAATTGTCAAACATATTTCAATTCTAACCTGAAAGGGTCAATACTTGCTGTATCTCTTCTTTGCTTCTCATATTATTTAGTTTACTGATTGTGTATATTTATCTTTATTCAAATAATTCATCATCAATAGTTCTAATAAAAGTTTATATTAATTTCTCTTTTATAAAATATTTTACTTAATTTCCATTTTACTAACTTATTAATAATTATACAATAATGTTCAGACAATTAGACAGCTTGCACTTCCATTTTTCTGTTTCCCCTGCCATAAAAAATATTTGTTCTTGTCATACTTCATGCCATGTTTCACCTCACCTTTCCGGTCTATGAATTTCTCATACTTGCAAAGATTATGCAACTGTATCCTTGGAACACCATAATATCAACCACAAACTTACAGGAAAAACTTAATACTGTTACGTCTCCGTTTGTTAATTGATTTCCAGTGAATTTCCGACGAAACTTTAGCGACACAAGTCCTTACTTAATAAAACTGGTTTATTCTTTCCGAATATAACTT